GGCATCTGCAGCCGGTTCGTGGTGGGCCAATTGTGTCATGTTTCTCTGTGTCATGATAGTTCTCAATTGAGCAGCGGCGGCCTGCCTGAAGGCCGGCGCGCAACAGCGCTCGCAGCCACATGGCTCCCTGTGTGCCGGAGGCCCTCCCTCCGGTGGCCTACGAGGCAGGAAGTGAGCCAGCCAGAAGACCAGCACTCCCTGCCCATGGCTCCCTGTGCACCGGGGGGCCTCCCTCTGGGTGCCTATGAGGCAGGAAGTGAGCCAGCCAGAAGACCAGCACTCCCTGCCCATGGCTCCCTGTGCACCGGGGGGCCTCCCTCTGGGTGCCTATGAGGCAGGAAGTGAGCCAGCTTTAAGTTACTCTTCAGATATAATTGCAGTAACACCTACATTTTGCTTGAGTTTTAATTTTGTACTTCAATTTTTATTTATTTATTTTGGTACTAGGGATTGGAGCCGGGGCTTTATAACATGCTAGGCAAGCACTGTGCCACTGATCTACATCCTCAGCCCTGTACCTCAATTTTTAAAAGTCCTTAGATCACTTTTTTTGTTTCAACTTTGGGGTAAATGAAAGTGGGAAAACCAAAAGGTTTATTTCTTGATGTCCACCCCTCTACGCCTCTGCCAGTCTAACTCGCTGACTTGCCTCATGCATGCAGGCAAGCACTGTACCACAGAGCTACATACCCAGCCCAAAATGTTTATTTCTAATGCTGGCTATTTTGTAAGATCACTCTGTTCTTGGTTTGATTTACAGTCCTGTCATTAATTCATTCATATAGGTAGTACTATAGTTGAACTCAGGGCCTTGCACATACTAAGCACTATACCACTAAACTACATATTCCTATGCTATCTAATATGTGCTAGCATGTGCTAGGTAGCAAAGGTCAGAACATCCTTCCATTTGCTCACTGCTATATTTGGGATGTATTGATGGGGAGTGCTTCCAAAAAAAGTAGAGCACACTCTTCCTTCCTTGCAAGGTAAGCTGAACTCACACATTTAATTTTCATCATCACAAGAAGCCTTGTACACTGTAGTTATCATACCCTATGCTGCATATATTCTCAGCCCTAAACAACCACTAATTATTTCTATCTTGTGAGGTTTGTATGCCCTTCTGAACACTTTGAATAAGTGGATAATAAAATATATGGCTTTATGTGACTGACCGACCTCACTTAGCATGTTTTTGTGCTCTCCCACATTGTGGTATATACCAAAATCTCATTCCAATAGGATTCTATTGAGTGGATATAACACATTTTGTTTATTCCTCTGTGGATAGGCTTTTGGGTTATTTTCACATTTTGGCCATTATAAATAGTGTTGCTATGAACATTTGTTTTCAAGTTTTTGTTGAACACTTGTTTTTAGTTCTTTCCAGTATATACTTCGGATTAGACATTGCTAGATAACTTGGTAATACTCTTTTTGGGGAAACTGCTAAACTATGTTCCACCATAACTGTATCATTTTAAATGTGTACCAGCAAAATGTGAAGGATGTAATTCTCCAGTCTTCTCCAACACTTATTTTCCTCTCAACAAAATTTGTCAGCTGGGCATGGTGGTGCATGCCTGTAATCTGAGCATTCTAGGAGACTGGGGTAGGATCAGAAGTTCAAGTCCAGCCTGGGAGAATTAGAGACTGTCTTACCTATTGAGTTGCTTTTCTGTCATGCTGAGACAAAATACCCAACACCCAAAGTTAAAGGGAGAAGAGTTTTTTAGCTCACAGTTTGTAGAAGTTTCAGTCCATAATTGGCTGGTTCCAAGGCCAGGTGGTTTGACAGAGGGCAACAGTTTGTAGTGGTGGAAGACAGCAAACCAAGCAAGGAAAAGAAGGGACCAGCCTCTTTCTCCCGCTTATACTGTATGGAGGCTTCTCCCCCTGGCATTCACATCCTTCATCCTAGCATTGGACCAAGAATCCATCACAAACTGTAGATTCAGCTGTTTCTTGTGATCTGCTCAGATCATCTCTTCTGTTCTCTTGTTCCTTTACAGCAATCAAGATCTCCTCTGCTTTATCTTTGCAGTCCACCTCGTTACTGGAGTTTCCTTTCTGGCCAAACTCAAAACATTTTAAGTCGTTCTGCTGGGCTCTTTGCATTTGATTTTCAACATAGATCTGACTAAAAGCTCCCAACAGTAGCCTTGTCACTGCTTCAATATTCAACTGCCTTGAAAGTTCTTTGGCAAAATTAATTAGTTCACCACCCTTAATCTCAATCTCAGGCAGTCTCTGGACATGTGCAAAATGCAGACAAACTTTCTGCCATATATATCATCTGGAGTCTAACAGCCAGTGCAGTCCTTCTTCCCAGCAGAAACCTCCTGAACCTGGTCTTTACCGGCTTTCTTGTCTTCTGAACTTTGACCAAAATCTCCCATACAATACAGCCTCGGGTGTTCCAGCTCTGCTTTTTCAGCTGGCATCTGGGAACCTTTCATAACTCTTTCCCTTCCCACAAGCAAGTTCTGAAGGCTGTTGAACTGCATGACCAGGTAAATGTCACGCAAGGGCCCCACTTCTCTGGTACCAAATTCTCCCGTTCTTTTCTCATTGTTGAGACAAAATACCTGATACTCGAGGTTTAAGGAAGAAAGGTTTATTTAGCTCACACTTAGTAGAGATTTCAGTCCATAATCAACTGACTCCAAGGCAGTGGCACATGGCAGAGGGCAACAGTTCATGGCAGTGGAAGACAGCAAAAGCAAGTAATGTCCCTTATATTGTATGCAAGCTACCGCTTAGGGCGGGTGTAATACTCACACCCTCAATCCTAGCATTGGACCATGAATCAGTCACAAACTCTAGGTTCAGCCACCTCTGAAAAGCCTGTCCCCTATGGCTGCATGAGTCTTTGTGGGGACAGCTAGACACAAAGCATAACAAAGACTTAGTGACACCCTGTCTTAAAATGTAAGAGGGCTGGGGATCTAGCTTAGTGGGAAGGCTTGGTTCAGTCCCCACTACAGGGGATTCTCATCCTAGTGGGTGTGAACTAATATCTCACTGTGGTTCTTTCATGTAATCACAAATGATACTGAGGATTCTTGTGCTTGTTGACTTTTTCTGTGACCTCATTTGAAAAAAGTATTTATGTGTGTATGTATGTCTTTTTTGAGATGGGGGCCTCACTGTGTAGTTCAAGCTGGCCTTGAACTCACTTATGTAGCCCATGCTGGCCTCGAACTTGCAACCATCCTCCTGCCTCAGCCTCCTGTGTGCTAGGATTACAGGCCTTGGCCACCATACCCGACCAAAATGTCTGTTTAAATATTTTCTCTGTTTTTAAATTGGATTGTCTGTTTGCTGTTGAGTTCTAAATAAAGTTTTTCTGAGGCCAAAGTCAGGCAAATAAGACAAAATTATACAAATGTAGGAGTGGATCCTGTTTAAATTTTTGGCATTTTCTGCATTGTACCTTTGCATCTATTCTGATTTTTAAAAAATATCACTCCAGCTGGGCATGATGGTGCACATCTGTGATCCCAGTAGTCTGCAGGCTGAGGCAGGAGGATCACCACGAGTTTGAGGCCAACATGTTCTCAATAATAAGTTCTTCAAGATCAACCTGAACCACCTAGTGAGATCCTGTCTCAAAAACAAAACAAAACAAAAACCGAACAACAAAATTGGGAATACTGCTCTGAGTTGTCCTGATGACTGCCTTGCCCGTCCCTTAAATTCTGCACCGCAGACAGCGCCTCACTGCTGTCCCTGTAGGCTGGGCTGTGCGCAGAACACACCGTCAGCCCGGCTCTGGCGGGAGCTGTCCAGCGTGGCGATCCGTGCTCTGTGAGCCCTTTCTTTCCGCACAGCTGCGGCAGCTGTGCAGGCAGGTTTCTCTGGCCTTCTGTGTCCCTTCCCACCTCTCCCCCTAACAACCCCATGCGCCCCTGTTGTCCCGAAAGTCTGACTTCGGTGACAGCAGGAAAGATAAGTCTTAAATGGAAAGGAAACAGGACCTGCTCTTTAGCATCTTGGCAAAACCAATCCTTTGCGCCATCCCTGCGCATCTCACGCCCTATACCCCAACTCAACTGCCCCTGTCTGCCCGGTTTCCACAGTGCGTAGGTGGGTGTTAGCCACTGATCATCAGGCATGTGATGGTGTCTAGGAATGGCGCGACAGCGGTTCCCCCGCCCACCACATCCGGCGCCCACGGGCACAGACCACGAGAAAGGCGTGAGACAACTCTCGCGGGAGCCCCCCCGCAGCCCCGGGCACCTCTCCTCTGCGGGCCTGGGTCCGTGCCCTCCATGGAGGGCACCGTCTGCGCAGGACGGAGTGCGCCTGCGCATTGGCTGCCAGCCGCAACCGGAAGTGGGGGGCGGGAGCTAGACCTATGTGGTGGGCGGTACTTGGCGCGGCCGCATAGCGGTTGCCGCATTCGCCGCATTTGCTGCAGGCGCGAGATCGGTACAAGCTGGTCTTGACTGAGCTTCGAGGCATCCACGGACGGACGGACGGACGGGCGGACGGACGGACAGACAGACTGACCATGCCACGCTCCCACAGGCCTCCACCACCTGCCCAGCGGGCTGCCGCCGCCAATGCTGCCGAGCCCAAGACTGACGGTGTTGTAGCTATGACTTTTAAGATTTTCCTCCTTTTTGCAGGACTTATGGTTAAAGTACCTGTCGGGCTATATTTTTCCTGTAAATTACTTCTTTTCCAAAGTCTGTTGTTAATGTCCCCTGAAGACAGCGCCTTTTACGCGACGATTGTCGCAGTGGTCGGGCTTCATGTGGTGCTGGCAATTTTTGTCTTCATAGTGTGGAAGGAGGGTTTGCCTCAGTGGCGGGAAAACAAAAACGACTAGAGCAGCTTCAGGAGCTGCAAACGCTGGGGGGTGGGGGGTGGGGAAGTGTCTACAGGGTTTTTTCTTCTTTCTTTCTTGTCCGTACTAAAAGTGCTTTTCTTTTTCTTTAGAGGGGAGGGTGGCTTGGGAGGGTTATTAAATATTTACTGCAGCTAAGACTTCAGTAAAAATGCGGGTGGGGGGAGGGCTGACATTTTTTGACTGCGTGTTCCGTGCCAAGTGCTTTTCGTTAAGAATATAGTGTTTTTGACTGAGTATTGTGTTTGACCGATGTAAATACTAAAATTCCAAATTAGAATGCTAGGGTGAAAGTAACACTGTAATTAGTAGGAGTAGAATTTACTTCATATTAATATATGTGTCGTGATGTGATTTTCATGGCGTGGCCCAAGCAACAATTTTCAGAATGCAGGTAAGTATCCAGGTACAAAACTGAGCTATATTTTACCTCCTTTGGTATTCTCAGAGAAGCTGGCAGGATCACTGATTTTATGGTTTTTTTTTTCACCATCAAGTACTTGCATAATGATCAGGTTATACCTCTTAGAATCAATATTTTATTGGATTGTAGAATCGTGTTCATTGTTTTTCAGTATATTAGGTGAAAATTGAGGTAAATTTGTGAATTTTAGATAAGACTGTTAGAATTGTGCTACAAGAAGGTGCTGCTGATGTAAAAACCTGCAGTTTAAGATTTTAGTAAATCTGTCCTTGCCTGCAGTACCCATTAAGCAATGACCTCATTCTTATGCAGATTAAGAAACAGTTTAAATTCCATCTACAAATGATATTTTTCACTATTTGTTTTGCAATAGCATTCTGATAAGGTCTAGTGAATAGGTATGAAATATTAAGGCAGAAATGTCCATTCTTATAGTGGAATTTCAAGACCAGTTTTAAAAACAGATTAATCTACACCTTTTGATGGGAAGGTTATTAACATTAGATTAATATTAGACTAAAAGTTTCATTTGAGTTCAGATGCTGCCTGTTATTTATTGACTATTATAAGTAATACTACAAGAATGTATGTTTTACGGTAGTTTTGGTTAATGGTTTATTAAAATCTGGTTTCTAACCTTTATTTAATATTTAGAGTGGGTATAAATACGACAGAATGGCCTTAAGGAAAATTTTTCCTGAATTTTGACGTATTCTAAATGTACAGCGTGTTATTTGGAGATTAGGTAATGTGAGATATCTACCATTTCTCCCTTCTCAGTCTCAGGTTTTCCTTTTTCCAAATAACTACTTTTTTAGCATCCTGTAATTCCTCACTTGCAGGATCCCATTTCCCCTGAAGACTCCCCATTCCTGGCTGCTTGTCTATAAAGGGACCTCCCCTCAGCTCCAGTTCTTCGTTCCACCTCCCCCATGTCCCAAATCTGATTCTTATTTAAAAATTTTTCCAAGTAGATAGATTACATTAATTACAGAAGTACGCATAATTCATTGATAATTTGGTTTTCTTTTTTCCACGGGCCAGTCTTTTTCATAAGTGGCCATGCTGTGTGAGTATGCTTGGCAGAAAATGCAGATGAAAATGAAAATACTTAATTCCCTTTGTCGTGTTTGTTTAGCCTCATTGATGCTACTCATAGAGATGTGGACGTGCTGTTACTGCTTTCTAACTCTGCCTACTACGTGGCCTAGTAAGTTGCTTATTGATTTAAAGCTTTTAATTTAGTATTGTTAACCTGAGTAAATTTCCTTTCTAGAAATCATTAAAAATTTAAGAATCTGGTTTTATTATATATTTGTGAAATTTAATTGAACCCTTTTAGCTGATAGGAGTGACTTACCTTTATCAGTTTGAAATTTTTATTTTAGAGTTATTAATTAGTATGTTTATATAATATGTTTTGTATCTTCCTGGTTTTGATGTACTCTGTATATTTTTATCATTAATGGCCATATGCCATTGTTTATATTACTCATACCATATTTAAGTGTTTGCTCATTGTTAGGCATCACTACCTGCAGTATTTGCTATTGAGAATGCCGCAGCTATCTGTATATAGATAGTACACATACATTAGCTTCTCTTTGCCTACAGGGATATGGAATTATGTGACTTTAAAGGTGTTTTCAGATATGTCTCCAGAAAGATTACCAATTATCAGTCACTAGCAGAATACCTGTTTCCTTATACTTCACCAGAATAGAATTTTAATTTATGTTCTACATAACCATTCACCTTATTTTTGGCTTTGTTTGAACTATCAGTTTTTAGAGGTCATTTCTGATACCTGTTGACATAGATGATATGCAGTTTCCATTCTTGATTTTGTATATCAGGTTTTCTACTGTATTATTTCTAGATGGTTTCAGAGTGTGTGTGTATTTTGCTTTCATTTTAGATTTGTTTTCATGAAGGTTTTTATACAACAAATTATTTTTGCATTGTAATTGATTTCTTTTTTCGTGTAAGATCTATAAACCAATTTACTTCAGCTGTTTCTATTATTTTTGTTTAATCTAGTTTTGAAAATGTTTTTAACTCTTTACTCCAGAATGTATTGAGCTGGGAAAGATTGTAACTGCATTTACTTTACCTGACAAGCTAAGTATGTTTTTGATTTTAATCTGTTTTTTACTCTTTCTCTAGTTATGATGATGAAGTGGATAAAGTAAACCAGTATCAACGACTAAGTCTCGAAAACCTGGAAAAAATAGAAATAGGTAAATTTTAACATACTAACCAATTCAAAAGAAGTCAGATGCTGTTGCTTCCAAGCACAGGTCAGGTTGGTTGCACTGATGGTTCAGCAGTAGAACTGTTGCCTGCCACGTGTGGGTCAGATTATTTAAGCAACTGGTATACCATATGTTAGAACTTAGAAAGGGATATTCCAAGTAGTCTGCATCTTCAGACTTCCTTTCTATTCGTTAGAGATTAGTGGATGGTCTAATCATATTCCTTTCATTTTTTCCCATATTAAGATAACTCCAGCAATCAAGAAAGTAAAATGAAACTGAAGATTTTTTTATAGCCTCTGATAGATGTGATAAGCTTGTGTTTTGTATGGTTCTTATTTAGATTATGAAGAAAAATGTGCTACATGCCCATTTGATAAATGTTGATCTTTTGAAGTTATAGAAGAAAAGGAATATTATGTAGTTTACTTGTATTTGTTGGGTCTTTTAGGTCCTGAACCCACTCTTTTTGGTAAGCCGAAGTTTTCCTGTATGCGATTGCACTACCGATATAAAGAGGCAAGTGGTTATTTCCACACACTGAGAGCTGTGCCACGTAATCCAGAAGAAGATGGAAAAGGTAAAAAAGAGGAAAGTATTCCATGATAACTTTATATGTGCCCATGTAAATTCAGATGGAATTGGGACATTACGTACTACCGCTAGTGGCATGAGAACTGATGCAGGGAACAGGTTTATGACCTGAGACTTCAAGTGGCTATTCTATTCCCAGGAGTACAGGGAGTTCCTTTGGATGTATTAGGGAGTTTCTGGCAAGGGACTGTGTGGCAGCAGCTCTCAATGTGTGTGGCTCTGTACAAAGCCGTGTGGGTGCTTAGGCTTTCCCACCTGCCCGTGAACTCTTAGGAGCAGCCCCCCACCAATATCATCCACAGCTGTTGCCACAGCATCTGGCGCATTACCTGGACAAACGTGAATTACAACAAACTTCTAATTCCAGTTGTTTGCTCTTGTGCTTTACTCTCCTGTTAAAGATTTGCTGTAGAAGATTTTGATTTACTGAGGGGAACAAGTAGCAATTTTCTATAAATTGCAGCAGATAAACTTATATTTAAGTATATGACTGCAGATCAGCATGTGTACATTAGGATGGCTGTATTTTGTGTGTTTTTGGAGACACTCACAAGCAGTTACATTTGGGTTTCAGACACCCTTCAGTGCATCGCAGAGATGTTGCAGATCACTAAGCAAGCTGTGGGGCTGGATGTGCCCATAATTGAGAGAAAACTGGAGAGGTGAGTGTACTCCTCCTGTTAAGATTTCCTTACGATCTTTCCTTGATGCTACACTTAAGATGCTACCTGTGGCCAGCAAGGCCTTTGCTGTGGTGGTTTACATTGGCTATGTGATAGAATTGCACTGCCCAGAATGGTAGCTTGTGAAATGTGGCCAGTCTGCTTTAGGTGTCCTGTAATTATACGTACTGTGCCACACTGGCTGTTTTAAAGACTTGGTGCAACAAAAGGAGTATTAATCACCTTTTAATATTGATTACATATTGAAATAACATTTTGTATACATTGAGTTAAATGTTATTAAAGTTAATTCACTTGCTTTTTCATGTGGCTGCTAGAAAATTTAAAGTTACATCTATAGTTCATATACTTCTGTTGCCTGCTGGTGTCTGTGTCAGCTCTTTTTTTTTCATTGCTGAGACAAAACAAGCTCAGGGGGTGGATTATTTGATGTATCAGATGTTAGCAATGCATTGTTTTCAAGAAAAATTGGGATCAACTTAAATAAAGCACTTTCATGTATATTAATTAGAACAGGTATATTGGATTCCACGGGGAACTAACACGTTTTTCTTCTAATTTACAGGAAGAGCAGTAAACCTCATGAAGAAATCATTGGTATCAGATCTCAAAACCAAGGCTCTTTGGCCCAGGGGAAGAATTTTTTAATGAGCAAATTTTCCTCTCTAAATCAAAAAGTGAAACAGACCAAATCCAATGTAAATATTGGCAACCTGCGAAAATTAGGAAACTTTACAAAACCTGAAATGAAAGTTAATTTTCTAAAACCAAACTTAAAAGTCAACCTTTGGAAATCAGATAGTAGTCTTGAGACTATAGAAAACTCAGGAGTGATAGATAATAAAGTCCAGGGAGAGTCTGATGAGGACATGTCTTCAGATGACTCATACCACTCTGATGAATTCCTTACCAGCTCTAAGTCAGATGAGGACAAGCAGCTAGCTAATTCTTTAGAGAGTGTAGGGCCGATAGATTATGTTCTTCCTAGTTGTGGTATTATTGCTTCAGCACCTCGATTAGGCAGTCGCTCTCAGTCTATCAGCAGCACTGATATTAGCATTCATGCTCCTGCAGAGGTTACTGTTGCTTATGGAAGTGGGCTTGGCAGAGGCCAGGAGTCTCCTTTGAACAAGAGTCCTTCTGCTGACAACATACACGCTGGCTTTGCTAAGCCTATGGATATTTACTGCCACAGGTTTGTCCAAGATGCACAAAACAAAATGACTGAACTGTCACAGGCCAGGTCTGTATCACAGCAAGCTAGTGAGGAAAGAAATCAAATGACCAATCAAGTTTCTAATGAAGAAACTCAATCAGAATCAATGGAACAGACACCTTCTCGGCCATCTCATTTAGATGTGTCTTCTGGGACAGGCCCCCAGTTTTTGTCAGTTGAACCAGTTCACTCAGTTTTCTCTCAGAAGACCCCTAGTTCTGGTCTTGGCGTGGAACTTGAGGCAGGGCTTCGTGTAACTCCCTCCCCTTCTGAGAGCAGTAGCAGCAGAGCAGTCTCTCCCTTTGCAAAGATTCGCAGCTCCATGGTCCAGGTTGCCAGTATTACCCAAGCTGGGTTAACCCATGGGATAAACCTGGCAGTAGCAAAAGTTCAGAAGAGTCCTGCAGAACCTGAAGTAGTTAATGAAGTCCAACAAAATGAACTTAAAAATATGTTTACACAATGCCAGACACGAATAATCCAGATTTAGATTTTAGCCACAGTCTTGTGGATTTTATTTGAAAATTCTAAATTTCCACATATTAGGCTATTTTAACTTTTACTGTTTGAATCTAGGGATCACCAATTCTGGTTACTGGGAAGGGTTTTCAGAGGCATCAGAACTTCAGCGGATTTCCAGGTCTGAGAGCCAAGACGCTAGGAAGTGTCATCCTAGATCTGCATAGCATATACACTACAGAACTACAGAGCAGTTTATTCATTTGAAAGTAATTCAGGAACAAGGCATTTTGGTACAGATTCTGAAGTAGTTTTTGGGGGGCGGGGGGTGAAGTATAGGAAGTAGACACAAGGGGCCCATTTGAAAGTAGCATTTCTGTCAGTTCATTCCTATGTAGTCTACAAAGTAAACCATTTAGTTTTTAGTGAACTTAGTATGGAGAAGCATATGAAAGTAAGTTGTTTTGATGGCTTAACCATTCCCTGTGAAGAGCTGAGGGTTACCGATGCTACAGTTAAAGAATCATTTGATCCTAACTTTACCCATATTCTACTTGAACGGATTATTCTGCTGCCTGTGGTCTTCAAAACTGAGGTGCACTAACTTGCCTGTTATAGAGTAATCCTAGTACATCGCCTGTATCTGGCAGTACCTAATTGATCTTGCTCTTTTTAAAAATGCATTGGCTACTAGAAATTCTGGAAGTCTTCAAGTTTTAACTTTTCCAGAACATTCCTCAACATTTTGGGCACACTATCCCAACTACTGAAAATTTAGTTGAAACACTGCTGTGTGAAAACAGGTTGTATGATGCTAACTCTAATCAAGAGAGCCTCCTGTATAACAACCCACACAGAAAGAAGGTTGCACAGCAGTCCGGCAAGTGTTGGTTTCTCTGGTATTTTTAGAGCCTTACTCTGTTGAAGTGATTCTCAGCTGAATGTTATGTCTGTTGTTAACTTTGATAAGCATTCCATTTTTGTTATTTATTAGTGGTATTTTTTTTGAAGTGTCAAATCTTGTGACTATTAAAGTACCAGTAATTTAAAGTGACGGTGTCTGAGAATTCCTTATATAACATTTTAAGTGCTTGATTTTATTTGAGACGGTTTCACTATGTAGTTCAGACTGGCCTCGCACTTGCAGCAGTGCTCATGCCTCAGCCTCCCGAGGGTTTGGATTATAGGTAAGCACCACTATGCCTGGCTAGGATTTGATTTTAGATAAAAAAGTAAGGTAACCTGATAACTGAACACTTGTGAACTTTTTCAGTTATTTTACTGTAAAGTTTCTCATGATTTTAAAAATTAGAAACTGAATCACAAAACATTTAAAATTTCATATATTCAAAACTGCTTTATTCTTTTACCAACTTTTGGGTCTTGAAAATTATTCCACAACACCAGAGAAAGTACAAGTCAACGTGAGAAAATAATGCATGTTCATGTTCCAGAAACATGAATTCCAGAGACTTCTGAAAACTAGTTATCTTAAGGCAGTTTAGTTCCAAACGGGAAAATACTGTATAAATATCTGTTCAATTTTCTCATTGTTCAAACAGGATTAACAGCTTACCTTAAGTTAGAGCAACAAACTAGAACATCCACATGTACAGGCAAAGGAGAAAACTAACTTGGGTCGAACGCCATCCTGTATACTCCCGTCCTTAAATTTACCCTTGTACTGTTTTTCTAAGAACATGGGGCTTTCCCACACTGTTACATAGGTCACTGAATCTTAGAATTCATAAAAAAAACAGCCCAAGGTACTAGTAGTTTGGGAAAGTTTATTTACTGCAAAGAGGGTTCTTTCATTGGAACTTTTCTGCAAGACCAAGCAAAATTATGATTTCTCTTTGGTAGATTACATTTTACATTGGCACAGTTAGACACAATGGCAGCTACTACTTTGTTCTAGGACAAAATCTATTTCACTCTCACAAATCCAATTGAGCCTTCATTTTATTTCTAAAAGTTTAAGTCTACCAGTTATAAAAATGAAAACCAGTTAGAATTCTAATATAAACATTATTTACATTAGTTTATAAAAATAGATTTGAATTTAGGAAAAGAATGTTGAACAACTAGCTAATTTTTACTTCCCTTCACTAAGCATAATGAATTCCTTGATTCTTCAAGGCTGACCCTGTTTCCTTGGTTAGCAATGTCAATGTAAGCCTTCTTTATGGGAAAAAAGGAGTCATTTGATTTGTTTCCACCTAGGTAACTACACTGACAGAAATAAATTCATCTTTATACACACTGATGTCTTTAAAAAGTAATATTCTAACCTTTCTGAAGATTCTTGTTGCCACAATTATGTCACTATAGCACATTAATTTGCTCTCTGTGGGTGGTATTTTTGTTTGATATATCAAAACAGTCTGGGGAAAGCTTACCTGTAATTGTCTCAGGCCTTTACTGTACTGGCTGATCACTTATGTGATGTAATACACTAGGAATTGGTAAACTTACATAAAACTCAAAATCTAATAGCCTCAAGGAACTGAATGACATCAGGAAAATAAGCTTTTTTTCTGGGCTGGAGAAGTAGCTCACCGGTATAGGGCCAACGATGGCAAACCTTTGAGAGCTTTCAATGATGATAAACAGCCGGCTGTGGCACATGTGCCACAGGTTCGCCACCCCTGGTACAGGCTTTGCCTAGCTTGTGAGAGGCTACGGATTTGATGCGCAGCACTGTCAAAAACCAGACTTTCTAAAAAAGGCATTATTTTTTAAGTTTGCTATGTTTTTTGTCATATTTAGGTGAAACTTCCTGGGGCAGTGTTCCTTTATGTGAATCCTATAAAACCGTGATTCCGAATGCACTGGGATATAATGAGAAATGAAGACAGTGTAGTTTTCTGCAAAAAGCTACATTTATTCCATTTAAAGAACTTCCTTTTGATCTGGGAAAAAACCAAACCCAAACAAAACCATTGTGGGGTATACTGGGGATTGAACCTAGGACTTCCCACTGAGCTACATCCCAGGCCTTTTTCATGTTTTCATGTTGAGACAAAGTCACTAAGTTGGGGGGCTGGGGATTTAGCTCAGCGGCAAAGCGCCTGCCTGGCAAGCGCAAGGTCATGAGTTCGGTTCCCGGCACCGGAGAAAAACCAAAACCAAAAAAAAAAAAAGAAAGTCACTAAGTTGCCCACCTGGTCTGAACTCCAGCCTTCTTGCCCCAGCCTCGCAGAATGCTGGGATTACAGGTATGTGCCACCACACTGGGCTGAGTTTTACCCTTTTATGATAATGTGATTTCTTCCAGATTACATATCAAAAAATTGGCAACATTATCCCTCTTCCCCTGTTTAGAAAATATTGCTGGTCCATGAAATTCAAGTTTGGGAACCACTTCTGTGTAAATAACTAGTTTTTTAGGCTGTTAACTGCTAAGTGGAAGAATTTGCTGTCGGTTGCCAGTTGTCCTGGAGTCTCACATGGTGAATCTATGGCATGTTTGCCCCATTCCCCAAATGTGGACTACTGAACATACTCAGACCCATTATTAAATGGAGAGACACAGACATCTCAAGTGCAAACTTCCTTCGGCTTTGAAATTGCAACAGTTTTCTTCAAATGAAGTTAACAGCATTTCAACAGTCTGGCCTATGACTTTGCTGCAGCTAAGGAAATGGTATAATCAGCAACATCATCATTATGAAACTTTAATATCAAATACATTTTTGTACATTGTAACTGATTTATATAATTATAAAACAAACTTCAAAAGCTCCATAAAATCAGTAAGGTAAAAGCCCTTACTGAGGTATCATATAAACTTTAGATGTTACCAGGCCTGACTTCAGGAAAAGTCATTGGTTTCTGATACAAATTATCTATAAAACAATGTGGTACAAATGACATTTGAATTTTACAGTAATGTGGCTACCATCTGCCAATCAATCTTCATGGTTACCGGAACTCTAAAGTTCATTTCCATTCACACATTTCTGCTGCTGAAGCCTGTTTCTTCTTAGTGACTCTAGCTGCTTGGCTCTCAGCCATCGTTCTCGTGACAGTGTTGTCTGACCAGCACTGAGAGAAAGAAACCTGGTTTGAAACATAAACAAATTTAAGTCTACAGCTAGGATGCTAAGTAAGTTTTAAGACGTAAGAATACTTATTTTGTTGATTTTTGAGACAGGGTCTTGCTATGCAGTTCAGGCTGGCCTTAAACTCACTGTGTAGCCCAGGCCGACCTCAAACTCGTGGTGATTCTCCTGCCTCAGCCTCCAGAATGCTGAGATATAGGTGAAACTACCAGGTGCACTACCACACCTGGCTAGAAATACTTTTTTTTGAAAAACACAGCCCAAGTTAAGAGGCAGTATTATCTGGCATTTACACACACGTCAAGAGCCAATTTAAGAGTTCTCCAAGAGAATCCCTGAAGAGTTAGGACTTCACGAAGCTTAGAGAACATGCTGCCCTGAGGTGACCACTGACCAAACCATTCCTCCTCAAAGAAAAGCTCTTTTGTATTTTTGAGGTCTGCCTCAGCCATTGCTGCATATCAGGAGACTTACAGAAAAAGCAATTAAGAGCCTGGACTACTCACCGAGCTACCACAAGCAACTGGTGGAGATCATCAGCAGTGATGCTCTGGGGGTCGTTCTTGCGCATCTCCACAAAATCATCTTCAACAGCCTTTATCAAAAGAGTAAATGTACTTCAGGGTTAGGGTCCTCCTTTAAAACTTCAAGATACTTTATGATCGTTTCCTTATTTTTGTGAGGAGTAAGATACACCAACTGCTTGCTGATGTAAAAATGATGGTGTCTGCCTTGTAGACAAATGAGACATGGGTGAAAACATACAGAAGATTCCCTATGTGAAAAAGGCTGCAGACCATGATATTCTAAAAATTCAAATTTCACTTGAGAAGGCTGTGCAAGCTGTGTAATAAACACAATGCCTTTAAATGGAAGAGTGGGTTTCAGAGAATGATGGTCAATCAGCCTTTTCAAAATCTGGAAATAAGCAATGTGCAGAGCATTTATGTGAGCAAAACAGGTGATTCTTGGGAGAAATGTTGAGTTTTATGGCCTCTGAATTTGCCATGTTCCCACAGCCCACCTCTCCCTGCGTGTCAGCTAACAGCCTTGAGAACCAGCAGCTCCAGGCCGTGGTTCCTTCAACGCCACCCCGGGGAACTGTCACCAACCATCTGAACTACGTGGTGACTTCCTGGAGGAACCCATGTGCAAGGCTGTCCTTATTTAACTTGATGTGGAGGATGCCTGGGATGACAGTCTCTTTCCCCATAGCTGTTGTTGAAACCATCAGAAGCAAGAGCTGATCATGGCTGCCTGACACACTGTATAATAGCTGCAGCAAATAACAGGCTCACCAAAAGCCTGAAGTGGAAAGAAAAGCTGCAGAATGAGACAGCTGCCGGGGGTGGGGGCAGAGGATCTCAGTGGCACTGCACTTGGATAGCAGGCTCTGGGTCCAGTCACACAAAACAAACACGCACCAAAAATAAGATTTAATAAAGTCACTAAACAACCAATAATCACAAAAAAACCCTAGTGAGGGTTAATTCCCAGAATCTGGCTTCTAGAACAGAGTTACTGCATTATTTTATTTTTTTTTATCTTTTTTGAGACAGGGTCTTGCTATGCAGTTCAGGCTGGCCTTGAGCTCACTTTATAGCCTAGGCTGGACTTGAACTCACAACGTTCTTCCTGGCTCAGCGTCCCGAGTGCTGGGATTACGGGTGCACGCCTGGCTACTGCACTATTTTAAATGTCTAGTCGTCAATTAGAAACAAGAAGGTATGGCCCACGCTGTGAAAAAAGGGTCAAAAGAAACTATGAGGAAACCCAAACAGACTTAATAGACTTTGAATTGACTCTTCTGAATACCACCAGTCATAGAGGAAACCATGTATAGTAACCTATTCTCATTTGCAGTTTTGCTTTAAGAGGTTTCAGTTACTTGCGGACAGTTGCAGTCTAAATGTATTGATGGAAAAGTCAAGAAATAAACATAGGGGCTGGGGATTTAGCTCAGCGGCACAGTGCCTGCTTGGCAAGCGCAAGGTTGTGAGTTCGATTCCCAGTACCGGAAAAAAAAAAAAAGAAATAAACATAAGCTAGCCTTTTTTCCCCCTCCCTCTTTCTTTTCTTTCTCCCCCTCCCCTCTCTCCTCTCCTCCTCTTCCCTCCCTCCCTTTCTTGGTTTTATGAAACAAGGTCTCACAATGTAGTTCAGGCTGGCCTTAAATTCACTATGTAGCCCAGGTTGGCCTCACAGCAATCCTCTTGCCTCAGCCTCTGAGTGCTGGGATTATAGGCCAGCAAACATAACATTTAAATTGTGCTGCTGGGTGTAGTGGTGTGTGCCTGTAATCCCAGCACTGTGGGAGGCTGAAGCATGTGGATCCTATGTTTGAGCCCAGCCCGGGCAACTTAACAAAACCATGTCTCAGGGCCAGGGATATAGCTCAGTGGCGCAAGCACCTGCCTGGCAAGCACGAGGTCATGAGTCCGACTGCCAGTACAAAAAAAACAAAACCATGTCTGAAAGCGGGGAAAGTCGCTGGGCTGTAGCTTAATGCAAAGGTACCCCTCAGCTTTTCTGTACACATAAGGCTTTTGGTGAGCCTGTTATTTGCTGCAACCATTACACAGTGTCTCAGGCAGCCAAGATGATCAGTACTTGATTCTGCTGGTTTCTGACAAACGCTCTAGGGAAAGAGACCGTCACGCACACATACACACCACCCCCGTATGTGCCATTCTGATGAGTAGTGGCATGATGAAATCTCACCCTGACCTGATCTGTCCTGCGTGGAACATGAATCATCCCTTTGTTTAGCAAGCCACACTGGGTATGCTGACTGCCCATGGCAGTTGAGAGACTACATTCATCTAACTCTCATTACAATACAGTGTTATAATTATTCTATTTTATTATTAGCTGTTGTTAATCTCTGTGTCTAATACATAAACTAAACTGTGAAAGATACACACAGGATGGAAAAGCAGCAAAGGCAGGGACCGGTGCTGTCTGTGGTTTCAGGGACCCCCGAGGGATCTCTGGAGGTATCACTCTTAAATAAGGTGAGACTACTGTATGTATAATTAAAGGAAAACATGAGAACAATGTCTCACCCAACAGAAAACAGCAATGAAAAAAAAGTTAAAAAATAAGCAGGGGCTGGGGATATAGTGCAGTAGCACAGTGCCTGCCTGGCAAGCGTGAGGTCCTGAGTTTGATTCCTGGTACCCCCAAAACAAAAAAAGCAAATAACCAGGAGTGGTAGCCCTGTAATCCCAGCACTAGGATCACTCTGAGTTCGAGGCCAGTCTGGGCTATATATCGATTGAGTCCAGGCCAGCCTGAACTACTGTTACGGTTTGTGTCTGGATGTCCCCCGAAAGCCTCATGCAGTCATGAGGTAGGCTTCTAGAGTTTATGACGGATTCACAGGTATGAGTGCTACACCCACCCTGGGGTGGGTAGTTTCCATATAATGTAAGGGAGGGAAAGAGGCTGCTTGCCGCAGCTCCTCCCCTTGTGCTCTTTTTTTTTTTTTGCTCTCTTCTGCCACCATGAACTGTTGCCCTCTGCCATGGAGCCAGCCAGCTATAGACTGAAACTTCCACGAACTGTGAGCTAAACAAACCTTTCCTTCCTTAATTTTGGGCATCAAGTATTTTGTCTCAGCAACAAGAGAAAAGTAATCAAGACAACTACATAGTGAGACCTGGTCTCAAACAAACAAAAAAAGCAAATGGAAATTCTAAAGTTGAAAAATACAGTAACCAATTTTTGAAAAAATTCACTGGAGGGGCTCAGCAGATTTAAGCAGGCACAAGAAAAAACCTGCAAACCAAAAGACAGGCTGAGATTATCCATTCTGCAGAACAGAAAGAAAAGACAATATTGGGGCTGGGGATTTAGCTCAGTGGCACAGTGCCTGCCTGGCAAGCGCAAGGTTGTGGGTTTGATTCTTGGTACTGGAAGAAAAACAAAAAAAAACAAACAAAAAAGACTATTGAAAAATGAACAGAACTTCAAAGACCTATGGGATACCATTCAGTGCACCAACACACTCACAATGGGAGTACCAGACACTCCCATTCCGGGTACCACTCTGGTACCCAGAGTACCAGAGGGAGTACAGGAGAGGAAAAAGCAAAATTTCGGGCATGGTGGTGCATACCTGTAATCCCAGCACTCAGGAGGGTTGAGGAGGAGGATTTTAAGTTTAAAGCCAGTATGGACTACACAGAGAGACCCTGTCCAAAAAAACCAAACAAAAACAAAAACCAACCCAACCTGCTTCAAGCAAAAGGGAATAACTGGAGACTACAGGATATAGAACATAAATAGCAAATTTACCTTACTGATAACCACAGCAAATGTGAACTGGGTTAAACACTATAATTCAACACAGGGAAATTCTTGATTTACCCTGAAAGTACCTTCGTTATTTCATCAGATATGCTGTAATCCAGGAATCTCAAAAGAGTCAGGTAGATGCGGAATTTGTTCAGTACGGAAGGCAGCACTGTGGATAGAAGGCTGTTCATGTACTCCTCCATGTTGGGTGGAATTAGCTGGGGCTGTAAGTGGATCTGGCAGTCTGCCTAAAAAGAAAAATAGCACATAAAATTTTCTAGGCTCCTACGCTACACTGCATTTTAAGGAGGATGCATACTATCAGCTCTAAGGAAATCACTAAATACTACCGGGGAGGGGGTCAAGAATCAGTATTCAACCTTTACTCACTGTAACTGCCATAGCAATACTTACAGTTAGCTTTTTCTTGGTTATTTATGTTTTCTCAATGGTATATAAGCATATAAAAAGATAAGCAAGCTCTAATAGTTTTCCACAGAAAACTTACCAATAAGCTATTTCATTCTTAGTCAAAGGCTATTTCTCATCAATCACAGGTGAACACTACTGTACAGACAACTGCACTTTTTAAATGCCTGAGAGTATTTCTCATCCTCAGAATTAAGAGCTCTGACAAGACATTCTGATGCACAGAATTTCACCATAAAGCAAAAACTCATTACCAAGTGATGAGGGATATTTTAGAAGGAACTCTAGAATACTTTCAACTAAGACAAGCAGAAAACAACGGGCCACAGGCAGCAAGAACAGTAGCTTGGAAGTAAATCGCAATCTGCAGATAGCTTCTACTTTTTATGCCTACATACAGAAGCTTCTGGCAACAGCTTTGGTAATCATGGGATTTGCTGCTACATAGTTCTCGATAGATGTAAATTTTCACCCCAAGACAGAACCTTATTATAAATCACCACCAAGAAATAATAAGTATGTAGCTATCTTTCATAAATGTAACCTCCCTCCACTTAAAAATGACCCATGGTACCGGGAGGAGGGAGCGCCCCTCTGAGGTGATAAGGACATTGATACTGCAGGGGAATTCCATCTGGTGATAGCTGAAGTCATAATCCACCTTCTGCCAGGTTATCAGGTTGCTCAGGGCAGTCACATTATGCACACCTACAAGAGCAGGATCATATGTTTAATCACTTAATTTTAATCACCTACACAGATTGGGTTAGCTGCTAAGGATTAGAAACCATGAGGTCCCTACTGCTTATATAAAGGATATGAGGCACTGATCATTATACTAAGCTGAATGTCACTAAGCTAAATGTTCCCCAAATCTAACGCCTAGTGTCTAATACACTACCAGGCAAAAATGGAATCTTAGCAAGGAAGATCACTTCCTAGGGGGTGAGATCACAAGGCTGAGGGAACACGGTGAGACTGTAACAACTTCTGTATGGAGGTGAGGGGACTGAATTTTGAGGATTTTGTACTTGCCTCTTCCTTCAATCTACTTCCCAGTCTACATCACTTTTCCTTCTCTTTACCTCCTGACCTTATCAGCAGCAAAGTGTCATTTTGAGGCTATTTATCCAAGAACTCTACCTCCTTGTTTTGCGTGCGTGCCTCCTTGTTTTGCGTGCATGCATGCTCTGAGGAATGAGCCCAGGGCCTGCTGCATACTAGGCAAGCACTCTACCACTGAGCTATATATATCCCCAGCCTTTATAAAAAATTGTTTTTACTTTCAGACAGGGACTAAGCTCCCAGCCTGGCCTTGAACTTGCAATCCTGCTTCTGTCTCTTGAGTAGAGATTACAGGCATATGCCATCATTTCTGGTACTTTTTTTTTTTAATGATTTTATAACACCTCCATAACTGAGATTACTTCAAATAATCTGACCTACTAAGTGTTTCTCAGACATCCTCCAAAAAACGTTGGAATGATTTTGGTAGTGCTGGAGAATGGATCCAGGGCTTCCCACATGCAAAACAAGCACTCCACCACTGAACGACATTCCCAGCTCCTAAAAAATGTTTTTAAAAGCTCACATTAGCTGGGTGTGGTGGTAGACCACACCCAGCACCTGGGAAGGTGAAGCAGGAGGATTACCGCTAGTTTAAAGCCAGTCTGGGCTACAGAGATCAAGGCTAGTGAGACGCTGTCTCAAAAAAAGAAAAAAGAAAAAAAGAAAAAAAAATCTACATGAGAGACATAAATGTTCTATTGGATTTTTCTATTAGATTTTTCTATAATTTTTCCCTTTTGAGCTAACGGGTAATTAAGGGCAAACCCGTGTCCCATGTAAGCCCTTAAACTAGTATTTTACTCCTGCACTATTTTCAGAGTATGGTAACAGAAAAGCTGGTGAGCACAATTACTTTATGCTTTAATGAAATGCACATGCCAAGACTTTTTCTGAAATATCTGTGGAGTTTGTCTTTGTCCACAGACATCCTTTTAAAGTCATTAACAGATCTGACTTTACCAGAGGGGCGTCAGAAGAAGGGAAGCCTCGGTGCGCGTACCTGGGCTGTCCAGCTGCCCTTGCTCCAGCAGGGTTTCATCAATGACGAGTGAAGTGTTGTTGGGCAGCTGGAGGAGTCCACTGACCAGGCGGTTGGCTGTATAGTCTTTATGGGGAATGAATTTCAAATGGTTCATGTTCTCTATAGTCATCTGTAGGCGAAAAGACTGCAAGAGATTTTTTAATGAGCAAGGCTCTGTTTCTGTTTTAATAAAATATATAAATTTGAATTAAAATTGTATTTCAGATATAATGATTTTATAAATATCGAGGGGTAGACTGACGTGGTTTCTGGAACTCTTAGAAACAAGAAAAACTGAGTGACACTGCACTTGTCTAGTTTGCACAAGGCCCTGGATTCAAACCCCCAGCAGCTCCCTACCCCCAAAACAGGGAGAATAATATTCATTCATCATAGACTAATGCACAAGTTCCGAACAAATTGTTGGAAAAGTCCAGAACAGAGCGCACTGAGCCATGGCTTGCTGCTGCAGATCTCTCAACTGATGGCTCCAGTGCACCAGAATCTGCTAAGCCAGGGACGCCTCCACCGCCAAGCCCATCACTCACAATCCCCTTCGCCCTGCTCTAGACTCCTCTGCTCTTCTACCACACGAGCTGCAAACAAAGTGTGTGGGGTTGGGGGAAGCTTGTTGAGGAAAAGGTAAAACATAGAACCCAAACTTAGAGGACTTCTGTACTCTGGCCCAGTGATTCTATGAAAATGCTGTGGGGGGGTATGCCCTCCAGCCTCATGCTGGCAAACGCACAGCGCTTCAGCACCTGTTCTCTCCACAGGACAGGGCTTCCTCTGAGCAGCCTCCAGGCGTGCTGGTGTCTCCTTAACACCACCGCTGAGCTAGGGCCTCCCTGGGCATGGGCACCAGCAGCTCCTCCCTATCCACTGCTAGTACTACCTACCCACAACTCCTCCTATTCTGCAGGGCACCTCAATGACCTACCATATAGATTAATTTAGTTCTCAAAAAGTGGCACCGGGCCTAGGGAACTGGTGAAACTCTTATGGGGTTTATAGTATAAAAATCATGATTTAATTCAGCTTCTTTCACTGTGCCAAGACAGACTAATGAATTTTATTACAAGAGAACATGAAAATTTCACTGATAGGTGTTCAGATTCCACAATTCAACTACCATTGAAGAAAACACACATCAATAAAAACACTGCATTACCACAGACTATGTGGAAATAGACAAAAAAATCTAGTGGTCTCCCATTAATCCAAATATTAAGAGCTTTATAAAAATGTAAAAGAAATGTGAGTTATTACTAATATTTCTGGTTTGGGAAGTTTTTATAAAAATAATTATGTGTACATGTAATCATTTCTAGTAAAGTAGTATAACATATTTTCTATTTTAATTTCTAATGCAGAAAATTAAAAGTTAACCCCACAGTTCCTTGAGTCCTCACGACTCCGTTCAGAGGGAGAACTGCTTGTCTGTTCTGGCCTACCGCTGCTCCTCAAGGGCCTGGACAGTGCTGGAACTTGGACACTTGACAAACCTGACGAGTGGCTGAGTGGATAAACTGGCTCAGCTTCAGTTCCCAAAGTGAGAGGTGACCAGCGTTTTTAGTCACATGCCTAACCAGATGCCGTTCCCCCGTTCCCAAGATCCTGCCAAATGCAAACACTGCACTCAGATGTCCTGGGAAGTAAAGACAGCTCAACTTTCCAAGCAGGAACTCAAACTGGGGCAATGAAGATAGAGATCTTTATTACCTCAGCTACAACAAATTAGGCTCCTATAATTTAGAGCTTATTTAGATTTAAGACTTTAATGCACACAAAGGATATTAAGTTGCACAACTTGGCATCAACGGAGAGTACAATTTTAAAGGAGTTACTCTAACTGTGTTAATCCTCAGAGTCGCAACAATTTGTACTAAGGAATGTGAAATGAGAGACCACACATTTCCAATTATGTAACTCGGCAAGCTTTGTTTCCCCTTAAATGAGATCTAGTAAAATCTCAAATATTTCAGTTGAATAAAAACAATTAGATGGATCTGTTGTATGCCCAGGTTTATAATTCCTATTTATATTGATCTTACTGCTGGAACAAGATGTTGAATAATACGATATAAGTGTTCTGTGAAGGTACTATTCCGTGGGCAACCACTCAGGTTCATTGTAAATTTTCCTAGTGGAAGAACATCTCTTCTTGTATACCTAGGGGGAAAACAAATCAATACATAAGATTTTGAAGTGATGACCACAAATGTAAATATTCATTTAATTTTATAATTAAAGTATAGAATACTTTGAATAGCTATTTTATGTATCAGAAGAACAGTTAAAATAATAACCAATGCTGGGTGTGATGGTGCATTCCTGTAATCCCAGTACTTGCGAGGCTGAGGCAGAAGGACTGACACGAGCGAGTTTGAGGCTAGCCTGGGCTACACAGTGAGTTCAAGGCAAGTCTGAAATACATAGTGAGACCTTGTTTCAACTGCCCCCTCCAACAGTCAATACTGCTGACCACGAGCCAGGGATGACTCTGAATGCTTATACCCTCCCTCCCCATTCTTTCTTGCAGTGCTAGGAATCAACCCCAGCGCCTTGTGCATACTAGGCAAGCACTCTACCACTGGGCTACATTCCTAGCCCTGCATTTTCATCTAACTTGCAAACACTTTGAACTAGAAGTATGTGTTTTACAGATGGATCAGCCCTTATCTAAAATGCTTGAGACTAAGAGTGTTTTAGATTCTGCAGTATTTATGCACACTACTGGTTGAACATCTGAATACTCCGTAATGTCCGCACTCAAGATATTTCTGACTCTGGAGCATTTCAAGTTTTGGCGTTAGGGATACTCAACTTACAACACCCTCATCTAGCCAGGAAGCAACAGAGTAGAGTGCGGATTTGAAAAATCACCCATTATGTACTTACTGTCTCAGATCCCACCCAAGGAAAGATTCATAGGAAAAAGATGTTCACTGCAATATTATTTATTATACAGAAAAACGAAGAAAGCTCAACATTAAGGGACATGGACACAATATGAGACAAATGTACAAACAAATAACATGCAGCCACTGAAGAGCTCATGGCATGAATTATGGAACACTGTCTTATAGATAATAAATACTAAAAGCAAGAGACAGGTATGTACTTGAGTATAAAAGATACCTGTATAGGTATATATTAGCACACATAAACAAAGTCACATAAATAAGTACCAAAAAGTTAACTGAGATTTATCTCTCAGTGGTGAGATTACAGATGAATGCGATCTTCTTTTTTGTGTTCTAGAACTTGCTGAAGCAGAACATTACTGTTGAAATCAGGAAAAGACCACAATGGAGTCAAAGGGTGAGGTGTTAATGTCAACGTACAAATTCAATGCGCAGGTGAGGTACCTTGTTGGCTGTAAGCAGAGCCTTGTTCTTTATAAACAAAACTGAGGCTGGAGATGTGCATCAGGGGTAGACTACTTGCCTAGCATGCCCAAGGCCCTACATTGGATCCCAGCCCACAGAAGGAAGGAAGGAAGGTAAGGAGAAAGGAGAGAGCGAGGGAGCGAGGGAGCGAGGGAGCGAGACAGCCAGAGAGGGAGGCGGGAGGGAGGAAGGAGTTCACATTTTACTTATCAGCCAAGTCTTGTCTGACTTTGGCTCTAACATCTACGGGGGACATAATCAAAATGCTAAATGTAAACCTGAGAAAAGGTAACAGAAGGACTGTTTGTGATTTGGAATAATACTTATTACACTGAACAAATAAAAACCATTCAATGAAGCCTGAATTGAAACACAAATTACATTAGAAACCATCCTGTTCTTTTCCATTTTTTTTTTAAGTTTATTGGTACCATTTAGATATACATATTGATCACATTCATCACAGGGAAATTGTATCTGGACAACGACATATCTCAGTTCCTCTTTTTTCTCATCCCACCCGCTTACAAAGCTTTGTTTCCATTTTACTCCCCCATCCCGTTCCCCTTTCCTTTTGAACAATTTCTTTCCATTTCACAATATCTATTATACATTTTGGTTCTTATTTACACTTTCAGTTTCTCACACCAGAGACCCACGGTATTTACATGTATGTGTCCGATTTAGTTCACTTAAGACTGTGATCTCAAGAACCATCCATTTAGCTATGTCTCAAGTTTGTCCTTTTTGGCTCAGTAGAACTCCATTGTACAAAAAAGCCACATCTTTTTTATCCATTCATTGGCTGGTGGGCATCTGAGCTGTTTCCAAGATTTAGTTATTACAAACGGTACTGCTATAAACATGGAACACGTACGGTTCTGCACCACATCCCACCCCCTTAATCCCCACCGGAAACAGAGACAGCACTTACACTGTGGAGATGAGATGTAATATAAGGTACTCGGCAGCTAAACTGTCTCCCAAAAGAGCATGAGTGAGGAATCCCAGCAGTTCTGCTCTGACTGGAGACAGTTCAGACATGAAACTTGACACAACTGTAGAAGGAAGGAAGACAGGTTCAGAATACACACACCAGCTCCTCTCAAGTGACTCAGTGCAAAGCCTCTTGGTGAAGAAAGCGCCTCAATTCACTAGATGGCTAGTGTGAACTTAAGTACTGACCAATAGTTATGCCAACCTTAAAACTAAGGCAGCTTTATACACTCTTCTTTTCTGTCTCATTTCAATGAGGAAGAAAATGAGCCAAAGCAACACACTACTGAAGACCAACGAGGACCTCTCAACTCCACTAACAGCACAAGTCACAGCAGCTCTGGCAGAGATGGCGGGGAGGAGGCTTCTGGTTGGCTAGGCTTTAACACTTACACTTACAGGTTCTGCTCTCCTCTTTGTTAAGGCAGGCAGGTAACAGCGGATTGATGTGCTGCAACTTCTGGGCCAAGACCACATGAATTCTTGGCACTAATGAGGCAGGAGGACTGTGCACCCTCTGCTCCTCTGCCGAGTCTGCGCACTCCATGGGGTCCAGCAGTGCCGGGGTGTCCCTGTGGAGACCAGAGTCCAGTTGAGACACTGATTGCAAACACGTAACAACGTGTGTCTGAGGCAAAATTAGAATCCAAGCCACAACACTGGCACCTGCACATCTCCTTAAAGATTAGAAAGTGGCTCCTCGCTCTAAATGTTTCACCACCACACAGACTTTAGGAAGTTTGGTCATAGTGCAATAGAACAAATTTATTCCATTCTTCAGTTCAACAATATTTTTCACTCAGTATGTTGTCATTGCCATAAATGGGATAATAGGATGTTACCCATAAGATCATTTAAAAATGCAAATACCACTCGGGAAACTGAGGCAAGAGGGTTACTACAAGTTCGAGGGCAGCCCAGGCTATATAGTTAGTTCAGGGGCAGCCTGAACTATATAGCAAGATTCTGTCTCGAAAAACAAACAAACAAACAAAAAATAAAAATACAAGTATTTGTACTTCAGTTTTCAGCTGAGACATCAAGTACCTCACAGCACATTTTAAAACCTGAGTCTTCTCCACAGCCATCCAGTATCTATTATTCAGCATATGGAGAATCAATCATCTCTACCCAATTCTCCCTCTTGAATTTTATTCTTACATGAAATCTCCCTTGAATAGTGAAACAAGCAATGAAAATAATGTGCGTTCTTCAGATTTGCTGAAGAAATTTACAACTGATAGGTTTACTGTGAGTGACTGAAAGAAATGCCTACAATGTTTTAAAATCTTCAACTTACCTAATAATAACTGGTAATGTAGTGTTCAACATTTTCCATACACGTATTCATTAAAACCTCACAACTATTCCTATTTACAATGAGGAAACCAAGCCCAAGGTCACATAGCCACTAAAGAGGCCAGATCAGAACTCCAAGCACCTGTCCGGACTCTTCACCTCTAAACTAAGCAGTCTTGGTAACAGTAACTAAGGAGGACTGCCTGCGTAGACAGAATTACCCAGGACAAGCAATTGTAAGGACTGTTTCTAAGAGATTGTTAAGTTTACTTAAAAGTTGTTTAAAATTTGTTTTGCAAAAAAATTTTTAATGTGGAAAAATGCAAGTTCTTTCTATGCAGAAACCATGATAAACACTGGACATTCAACAAGATAGCTCCCCCTTTTGGGGAGTATTCCCAAGGGACTTTCCGGCTCCCTTCTGGCAATCTCAAAAGAAGATATTTTAAGTTTACTGAATGAAAACATTTAAAATACAGATACTATGCCACCTTTTATAGAAGAAAAATGAGAAAGAGAATACACATGCATCTAATTATTTTTGCAAAAGCAGATACAGAAAGGATTAAACCAGAAGTGAGGGAGAGGGTCCCGAGGGCAGCGGGGTAGCCAAGTAAGCAGGGATGAGGATGACAGCAATAGCCCTCCTGCATCTACTCTGTGTAGTTCTGATCTATCAACAATGTTAGTGCTTCCTTTTTCTTTAATCAAAATTATAGATGTGACAGTAAAATAATCAGGTATAAACAAATCAATGTGAAATCCACAATGGAGTCATACTAAAGGGGAAGGAAAGTTACCTGAGTATCTGCAACACAGTACTCTGACTACATAGTCCTAAAAAAAGAACTGGACACAAACACTGAACTGAAACATAGAACTGGACACAAACACTGAAACATATGTTGTTTTTTGTAAGGGTAATACCAATTTTTAAATTCCCTAGTGTACTGTGGAACTGAGCAATTGACATATTGAGGATAATGGAAATCAAGTCCTGCTCTGCGGAAAAGGGAGCTGTCAAAATGGGAAGGAGAACAAGCAGACCGCCACCTGTGGTGCAGTAATGGACTCAGAAACTATGAACTCTGTACACACGTGAGTGCTACAGTTTGGATCAAAGTATCCTCATCCGCTAAAGGACTGGTCCCGAGCTGGTGCTGTCGGATGGTGGTGGAAACTTACAGCGCGGAAGGAGGCCGTCACTTGCTGGGCTGTGCCCTCAAAGGAGACTACAGAACTTCTCTGAATCCTAACTGTGACGCCTGTGCTTTTGCTCATCCAGGCGCTCCCCACCCTTATGCGCTATGAGCCCAGAGCAATAAGGCCAACAAAACAGGGACTGCAATGTCCCAAGCTGTGAATCAAAAAAAATCTTTTCTCTTTATAAACACATACAGGTTGATTACATACTTTTATAAATTTATGTAGTATTTTTGGGAAAGAGAAACAGAAAGAATTAACTTACAAAATTTAAGTTTTTTTTTTTTTTTTTTTTTTGTTTTTCTCCGGTACCAGGAACCGAACTCACGACCTTGCGCTTGCCAGGCAAGCGCTTTTGCCGCTGAGCTAAATCCCCAGCCCCAAAATTTAAGTTTTATAAATTATAAACTTTTTGTAAGTAGATTATCTTGGGTATTTTTGCAACAGGAAGTTGACTATACAATACTGTGTCCACTAAAAAGGCTGAGAAGGAAAGCTAACCTTGTACAGAAAAATACACTGAGCCAGGTGTGGTGGCACATACCTGCAATCTGAGCACTCGGGAGGCTGAGGCAGGAAGATCTCTGTGAGTATGAGGTCAGCCTGAACTACACAGCAAGACCCTGTCTCCAAAAAAACCCCAAAAAACAAAAATAAAAAACCTTCAAAAAGTACACCTATTCCTCTGATGTTATTTATTTATTTATTTTAGAAAAAGAAGATACCGAGGTCCTTGAAAAGCTGGCTGACACTCAAGCTGGAGCATGGAAAGTGTTTTAAGTTCAACTTCATGTTTCAGGAAATCAATGTTAAAAAATGATAAGGTCTGCGGGCATGGTGGCACATGCCTGTAATCCTAGCACTCTAGGAGGCTCAAGCAGGAAGACTGCAAGTTCTAGCTCAGCCCGGGCAACTTAGCAACTTGGTGAGATCCTGTCTCAGAATAAAAACAGGCCAGGTATATAGCTCAGTACAAAGGTCCTAGCTTTAAATCTCTAATACCAAAAAAAATTAAACAACAACAAAAATGGCAGGATATGGTTTTTTTAAAGAGAACCCCAAAGTGACTCCTAGCTAAATCTGGGAAAATCTAAGTCTCAAAATAATGATACTGTCACTTAATAACAAATGAATTTCTCGGTCTATACTGGTAATACTTCCTTGAATAAACAAACAGAAACAGAATCTCTCATCCTTGAATGCCTAAAAAATGCAGGTGTGACTGAGTTAATGACTGAGTCAGAAACGATTCAAGTAAGAACCATAATGGATGCAAACTGAGTCAGTGCAAGTTAAACAAGAACCTGGATATTTGCAGTCTTAAAGTTACCCTCTGTTATTATTAACGGCAAAGTGAAAAATCGTAACTACAGGAAAGCCGCATACCACCACTAGTGTGAGACAAACTGACATGTGTCTCCTGTTATAATGCACTAAGAAGGGTATATCACGTCTGCAGTTTCCTGGCAAGAGGCAGTCTGCTAAATAACTGGCTTGGCTGGGCATGGTGATGCATGCCTGTAATTCCAGCATGTGGAGGCTGAGGCAGGAGGGCTGCTGTGTTTGAGGCCAGCCTGAACCACACAGTGAGACCTTTTCTTGAAACACACACACACACACACACACACACACACACACACACACACACACCAAGGGCCTCTGCTATCTGCCATGTGAGATGATGGCCATCTACAAACCAGGAATGATCCCTCATTAGACACTGATCTGGCCTTCTCACCTTCTGTACTGATACAAGTTTTTGTAGTGTAAGCCAAAAAAATAAAAACCAAAAAATGTCAAGGCCACACAGGTCAACGAAAGGCTGTGAACTGTTTCAGGTTAATGGAGTCAGCAATCCTATGGATCCTGGACCAAGAGCAAGGGTGAGGATTCAGACAGATGGTAAATTCAAGTATGGACTGTGGATTAGCGTTCCGTATTTATGACAATTTCCTAATTTTGATACCTATGCTCTGATTACATATGAAGTCTGTTCTCAGGAAATACTCTTAAATTTAGAGGTAAGGAGTTTAATGTTTGCAGTTTACTCTCCAGTGTCTCAAAAAAAGAAATGGGAACATAAAACAGCACACATGAATGACGAACATGGGACACAAGCGCTGACAACTGGTAAACCTCAGTAAGGAGCGGAAGGGCGTTCCTATAACTATCTGCCACTTTCCTGCGAGTATGACACTATTTCAAAAGAAGTAAACAAGACAAAAAAGAGCAAATGGACTCACCTCTCCTCATTATTCAGTGTACTGAGCACAGGATCCACAGACAGTATGCCATATAACTCAAGAACGTCATTTACTTTGAAACAGTCCCAGTCTTCATAGACCTAACGAGTAACCACATGCAACCACGTTAGTACTAAATGACTCAAAAAGCCCAAGAAATTGATCCTAAAGTAACAGTATCTCAGAATTCAGGTTAAAAAATGGACCTTAAAGTAACTTTTTTATTTCATATTGACACCTCGAGAGGTAAGGACCTTGGCTGAAGTCATTCTGCTGGTTAGCAAGTACGTTAAAAACCGAAACACAGATCCTGACTCCCAGATCAGGGTCTATTTCCAATATACCATACTACTTAAAAACAAAAAAGAGCTTTTTCCTAAAGGCTGGTAGTCAAAACTTAGAAACATGCATAATTTCAAAATCTATTAACCACACTGAGGACGAAAAACAGAAACATAGTAACCAAGATGATTAATTTTAGACTTAAAAATTATGTAACATCAGGGTTTAACACAGAACTTACAATGGCTGTTGGTATTAACTATAGCTCATGGAGGTTTGCAGTGAGATTTCTGAAGCAGGTTTTCTCTAGGGACTCCAAATTGCCCTTCAAATTTCAGTGATCCTTCTGCTGCGGGCTATTGCGTGCTGGGGTTCCCGGCACACGGTCTGGCTCCTCCATTCCCTCCTGAACATCTAAGGAGCCTCCGTAGGTCTAGATGCTAGCAAAAGGAGAGCTGGTGGCCAGGCTCTTGGCGAGAGGTGTCTGACATCGCGCCATGGCCACCTTGACTCACGCCCTCAGTAGCATCAGGGTTCAGGTAGGCCTATCCAGGCTGTCTTTCAGCGGGGCCCTGTAAGGTCCCGAGACCTTAGGGCCTGTCAGGGACCTTCGGGCCCTGACAGGTCCCGAGAACGAGGTGCCCACGGATGAATAAGAAAAGGTAAGAGAGACAAGAAAAACAAGACAGCTAAAAATCTGCGATCAGGGACCTTACAGTTTCTCTCGAACTGCAGCGGCCTCGATCACTCATCTCAATCACCTTTTATTAGAACAAAGAACGTAACTAACCAACAGGGGAAATTCATTATCCCTTTCCAGTTTTGCCTTTCAGCTGATGGTAACAATCCTCAGGCGAGCCTCCCACACCCAGCACCATAGTCACTCAGTTCAGCTGGGGGTCATAGCCGACTGAGTAATCAATCCATTAGCAGTCACAGTCCTTTCCCCACAAATGGCCGCAAGACTTTTCATACTAAAAAAAGAAACTTTTAAAATTGTCCAGATGAACTTAACTGTCAAAGCTTCTTCCTGGTGAGAACTGATGGGAAGAGTATCACAGGGTAAAAAGTACCAAGTTTAAACTCAATTCTTGTCAATCATTTCTGAACCTCCTATCACTTACTGACTTATGAGCATCAAAAACAACAAAAAACCAGAAAACAAACAAAACAAAACCAGAATTAGCAAGACAGGAGAACAAACTTTCAACAACTTTCTTCTATTTTAAATTCAAGTGAGTTATTATTTTTTGTAGTACTGGGAATTGAATCCAGGGCCTTTATACTGAGCTCCAACCCAAGCCCTTTTGTATTACTTTATTTTGAGAGATGGTCTTGCTAAGCTGCTAAATTTCCTTCGCTGGACTGACCTTGCAATCCTCCTGCCTCAGTCTCCCCTGGGATGGCACCACACTTGACTTGACAAAGGAGTTTTGATAAGGCAAGAATGACAAAAATAGATACCCTAAAATTACAAATGGTATAGAAAGGAAGTAGACATGAATTAAAAAACTGTTTCATTTCCATGTTCAATATGTTCTTTGATTCTTTAAGAAAGCTGCAACAGCCAGAATAAGGCCACTCTGAAGATGTTCAGACAGATGCAATGTGGCTGGCCTTAAAAACTGGGAAGGGCCAAGTAAAGGAATGCAGGCTAGCTCTAGAAGCCGGACAAGGCAGGAATAAAAATCAGCCAAAATCCCAGATCCTCCTCTAGAACCGCCAGTAAAGAGGCCTTCAAGCCAGGCGTGGTGGCACATGCCTATAATCCCAGTACTTGGGAGGCTGAGGGCAAGAGGATCGCTGCAAGTTTGAGACCAGCCTGGGCTACAAAGTGAGCTCAAGGCCAGCCTGAACTGCAGAGGAGATACTGTTTCAAAAAAAAAAA